GCTCTTCCGCATAGAAACGCAAAAATCTTTTTCCAACTTCACGCAGCACTGATGGAAACTCTTGATAGCTAAGCAAAACACAGTTTCCAGTTTTAGCATATATCTATATATACACACACATGTCTAAGCTAAATTCATATGGAACTCTTACGTAGGACGATAATCACTTCAACTGACAAAATAAGATATAACAATCTATACCTGCAGAAGGGTTGGTATCTCAAACTCGGCATATGAAGCCTGGTATCGAGCAGGAAGATGGAAAAAGAGAGCCTGTTATGCAAAGAATAATAAACACATGTACAAAAGGATTAGACATAGAACAGTAAAACTATAGTTTCCAGCAATGAACTGAAGAAGTATAAACACCAGACAAACAGAATCCAATGCAAGCAATGATTACATCATAATATTTACCTTTCCTATATCAGGTTGCATTGTTCCCCTGTATGAAGCCGCCAGACCAAGCATCAGACCTACTGTAGTGCTCTCATGATCCTAAAAGGCATACAATGAAAACAAGCAATGATTGAAGGAAAAGAGAAGGAATTTTGCTTGAGGGAGAAAGCAAGAAAAATGTGCATTTGATTCTTGGTTGACAAATCAAAATCACACAATCAATAAGTACACAACAAACTACACTTCCTAAACCAATGTCCTCATGAGAGCACATCCCAAATAGCACATAGGTAGCCAACTTTGGCTTGTGCAGGTTGCTTATTCCTAGGTCTCTGCTTCTCCAGTAACCCCCGAAACAACATGAGTATTCAGCAAGGAGTTAGCTTTGATAACAACTGAGAAGCACTCATCCCATACTAGACCCAAATCACCCTCACAAGCCAGTGGGTGCTAGCTTGTACATCCACGTGAGTACTAATCAGATAAATTACTTGGCAAATTAATCTCCCCGTTACACAACGATCAAATGCTGCAAATTTATGTCTGGCCCACTAGGCGAGAGACATGGGAAATACAAGCTCATATCCAAGAGAGAGATAACTTGGCATTCAGATCACCAGACCTCGATCAGAACTCCTTCACTAACGGCAACTAGAGGAACAGAAACAAACAACTCAACTCAGAGGAAAATGAGAGTGAGCAGAAATAACCTGAGTAAAATATTGGTAAATATCGCTAAGGTTTAAGACATGCAAATATCCCTGTAATCCCAATGCAAAGAGAAGTCCAGAATGAACAGCGTTTGGCTCTCCGGGTTTGTTGTATATTATCCATGTTCTGGAGACTTTTCCCTGAAAACGTTCAAAAACTAACAGAAGTCAGCTTACGGAAATCTGTGTTATCTGTAGAGATATGGGTTGGTCACAGAAAAACTTTACTGCATGATAAGCATATATTTGTGACGTGAATTATCACGGTTAGGTGTTTTCTCTTTTGGCATTTCAGTGCCTCCAATAATAAGGGCATGTTGAGATTTCCTGACCACACTTGAGACAGACCTGAAGCGGTGCTAGTCGTAGCCCAGCTGCAACAGCATTGTGAAATTCTGGCCAGGTCTTAAGTTCCTGGATACTCCTTATGTTCGGATCCAGATTAACCTACATAGAAAACATTGCAACCTTACAATTAAGAAGCTTAAAAAGAAAAAGGAGAAAGTAAGCATCTGGAAAACTAAGTCAATCTTTCAAATGAGTGAAAAGCAAAGAGAGGCTAAAAATGGTAATCAATCACAAGTTACATTTCAGAGAGAGAAACAATGCACAATAAAGTCGTTTTCTATCTCTGTTTCCTATTTACCGTATGCGTCAATCTCCTATTTACTCGATTGTTTTACTGAACTAGCCCCTAAATTGTATCTAAAATATTCAATGTCACTATACAAATGAAAGCACTTTGCAAAGATAACTTCATGAGAAATATAGCATAAATGACCTTGCCAAATGCATAAGGAATTGCAAATGGAGGGAAATAACTCTACTACAGTACAACTACAATTACATACAATAGCATTCTGTTGGGCAGGTAATCGACCAGCTAAAACAAGCTTCGGTACAGTAAAGGCCTGCAAAAAGTTAAGAGAAAAGCGATCTTCGATTAGTCATTAGATAAGACTAACTATTTTAATTTTTTTTATATCTAGACAGAAAATGACCTCGGTCAAAAGAGTATGTATCGTTGAAAGAGTGAATGCACCACGGCCGATCGGAAGCGCAGCAGTCCTTTGTGCTATGCACCAAAGTTGGTCCTACACCACCATAAAGTTAAGAAAGTACAGCAAAATGACGAGAGAGAGAGAGAGAGTTGAAGATCATAAGGCTCCTAGAGCAGTTAGTTAAGATAAAGAAAAATTGAAACCCTTAGCATCTCCCATGTCAAGGACTCCCAGTGCAGGCTTAATATATCTAAGTTTAGCATACTATTTTGAAAAAAAAGCATTATTATCTAGTATATGTAATTCTACTTTAACACATCATACCTGTTGCTGCTCTTGATCAGAAACACTAGGGTTGGCAGATGTTTGAATAACGACAGGTCGGGAAGAACATAGAAGCCGTCGAACCTTGCATGAGGGGGGGGGGGATAAAGGACAAAAGACAGTAAAAGCAAGTTATCAAAAAAAATATGGACTTCATAAGTTATTCCAGAAGGCTATACTCTACAAAAGTTACTGAAGATAGAGAGGCATAGATGGTTGTTAAAATAATTTAGTAGAGGGGCAGTGTTCTAAATACCACAAAATCTAACCATAATATGACAAATTTTGCAATCACTAGCAGTCAGTTATAATGCTACGAGGCACCTATCTAGTTATTATCAGGAAACAACATTCATAGGACATCTAATAGTTTTCTTTTCTGTATCTGGTGTCTGATTAAGGCAACAACTTGGGTGTCAAGATGTACTTGCCAAAAATAGCAATGAGCGCTTTAAAATTTAAATATCATCTGCAAGCTTTTAGAACAAGGGAAGTGTAGACAGTTGAGGAGCAAAACGGTCTGTAATAAATGTTTCCATCCAGCATGAATTTTCACATGGACTTTGACCAACACAATTACAAATTTACCTGCCAAATAGAAGTATCAATACCTCATTCAGTCGTAGATCACGACCATATCTTAACTGCGTGCAGGAGTTAAAGATATGCTCCATTCCATCTATCAAAGAACCATCCATTGAATCTGTATCCTCTATCTTAGTGCTTTCAAAGCTAGTTGAGTCAGATAAAGAGGATGGAACAATTACGGGGTGCAAATGCAGCATGTAAGGTGTGGACATTGAGATTATGTTCATATTTGTCTGCATCCCAAATTCCTTAGATGTGCTCAATCTTGTGAAGAATGATAAGGCCAAATCTTCCCGACCAAGAAGAACATAAGCAGTTGCCGGCCAGTCGATCGGAGGAGACTCCCTGCAACTATCCAAAGCCTAAAAGAGAAACAGACCAAAAATTATGCAAAATGAACTCCAAGGGACAGGCGAATAACCAACGAAAACTAGTAACAAGCGCAACAAACTAAAGAAAAGAGGAAATACAATTGAGACGAGACATTCTAGCCTAACTTACATGTCTTAGAGGGAGAGAGACACCAGAAGGTAGAGTATCGAGCTGTTGAAGCCCAAATCTTTCTCCAGCCATTGCTAGAACAGTGAGTTCCTCACTGCTGGAGTATGATCCAGGAGCTATATGACAAGGGAGACCTGATGAAAGCGTCTTTCCTACTGGCTTATCACCAAATAAAACACTATAAAACGAGACAATCTTCCTTGCCCGGTTCACAATTGAGCTTCCATTTTTACAAACCAAATTCGGGAGGTCATCGAGGTTCGTAGAGAAACATCCATGCCTTAAGCACTTCTCAAGCCATCTGAATAAACTAGGAGGTTTTCTGTCAGAGGAAGTGGTAGTGCACGACCCAATAACTTTGGAAAGACCAGGAAAATCACGTAAATAATGATCCAAGTAGCACTTTTCATCCAAAAACTTAGCAATACTGCATAATAGAACAGCCAAATTATGCAAATCCCTGCATTGAGAAAAGGAACTTAGAAGAGGAACTTAAATGAATAGTAATATAAACTCATCATCCAATTCACTCAACAATCAAACGTCTGAGTAATAATAAAGGAGTTTAGCCAAAATGCTGAACATGAAAGTACCACAACAATAAAAAATCGCAAGATCAAACATAAAGGTTGAGTTGGTTAACATGAATGCGTAGGAAAAACATATCAAGGAACAGACTCCTGATATATCAATTATCAAAATACTTATTTCTAATTTTTAGGCACTATTAGTTTCCAATCATGCTTCATTTTAAGTCACCAAAATCAGATAGCTGCAACAGTATCACTTCAACGCAACAAGGAAAATTTGATTAAAAGAAAAGAGTGATAAGAGAAAAAAACCAAAGCTTGTTTAATAGTTCCCTGATCTTCTTTTTCTAATTCCAAGTCATAAGATAGCAAGACAAACAACTATAGGAAAAACAGGGGACATGCACAAAATGTAATTTCGTGTGATAGATTTACTTACTGCTTCCGTAGATTATCCATTTTTAAACTCTCATAAACCGCATGAAGATGATATAAACTTTCCATCAATAATTCAAATGGCTTGCCCAATGTTTCCCCACCACCTATCTCTGAACCTAAGGGAACAATTCCTTCCAGATCCAAGGGATCTCTCGAACATATCATACCACTGTGAAGTCTAGAATAGGTCTTATGAAATTTGCTGCTGAGAAGAAACTCCCAGGAAGAGCTTGGAGATGCTCTAGATTGATCTTGATGTATGGGCCTAGACTTTTGGCAGATTCCCAGAAAAATATTACTTAATGCATCCCATTCAAAATGAATACTGGAATCTCGCTGTGATGAGGGATCAGAATAACTATCTCCCCAGAGAAGAGAGAGAAAATAATTGTAGAGATCGGATCGTAACCCCTCAGATATTGCTGCAATGCAATCATTTGCAAGTGAAGATGAAGGACCCCCTGTTAAGGCACACCGGAAGATCTATAAAAGTAAAAGATAAATGGTCAAGTGCTACTAAGGACAATCACAACACAAAGACCAAAATATACAAGTACCGGAGGCAGGGAATAATTTTAATAACCAAGGAAGGCTAGCTTCGGAGCGGAGTCCAGCTACAACAGTATCATAATTTGAGTGAATAAGGAGACAGTTAAGGCTAGCTTAGTTAGCAGATTCTGACAGTTTTCATTTTGAAAAGAATTGGTATCTGTGTGACATACTTGTGAATGATTTACTGACACGTTGACACATCCTCCAACAGCATCAGATAGTCCTGTTATCTTCAAGTCCTGTGAAACTGAAGATATTTCTGCAGACTCCCAATTATGAGACACAAGGCTTTCCCACAAACAAGAAGGCAATACATATTTGCAGAGACATTGCTTTCCTGACTACAAATAAAATATAATCGGTCAAACAGATTTAATAGCAAAGACGGTTTCAACATTAAAAGAAAAAAAGGGGTATGATCAATAACAAGTACCAACTTACATAAAGAAGAAGATCATTTTCTGGAGATAAGACGATGATATCCGAATGTGGAAGCAATCCCAATTTCACTCTGCCGAAAAATGGTGAAAGACATTGTTTAATTCATTACAAACAAACTGAAATAGCAAGGCATTTACACTGATAGAGAAAAAAAAAGATACATATTTACCGTGGATGTGTCACTACAATAGGTGCTGCAGCAACTGCCGGGATAGTCCAGGTTACATCAGGCTTAACATCGAAAAGAAATTCATTATTTATTTCAACAGTTTGGAGTCCCACTGACAAAAGCTTCTTTTGTTCTAGAATAAGAAAACAAATTACTGGGACTGCATCACCATCAGAAGCCAAAAAGACCTGAAATATTTTTGAGGCACTATATAAGATACATAAGTACCAGTAAAGAAAGAACAAACGCATTTAGTAACCAAACCTAAAATATTTCAAAAAGCTACTCAGGGAGCAGCATAGAAATAAAGGAAAATGTATATGACAAATCAACTAAAAATATAAATAACAGGAAAGGAGAAACACTATCTACAATAAAATGGGAAGTGTAACCAGAAATCTTCTCAGAGATAGTGACTTAGACTAATCAAAGAATGCAAATAATAAGAAGGCTATCTACAATAACATGGGAAACCCAGAAAGAAGTTTATTACAAGGGCAGTAGCTTAAAAAAATAGACAATCGTTTATTGAGCTTGACATAAGGTGTGGCCCAGCAGAACAAACTCAGCATTCAGAAGTAATATTAAACAGCCTATGAATGAGTTATTACGCAACAGAAAATAGCCACAGAATTCATAACATGTTAGAACAAAAAATGACTAAACCCATTCAGAGCTTACTGAATAAGGCTCATATAAAAAAAACATTCAGAATCGCATGAAATAGCAAAGTTGTACTAGTCCATAAATAATTTAACAAATCTAACTCAAAATTATACATCCCATGTCAGCACAGACAGCAAATTCATTGGACATTCAAGGCATAAACATATTATTAAAGCATTGGATAAGCTGCCACCTTAGATGCAGCTTTCTTAGCTCCTTTTGCTTGCCATATTCTCCGGAAAGATACCCGTTTAGGAAGAACACCATCCGGAACAACATAACCTGAAGAAGAGCCACAACCTTCTGGGCTAGAATTTATAAGTTCCACTGCCCACACAGAATGTTGCATCTTGCCTGAAAACCAACAAGCCAATAGAGAATGTAACTAGGTGGAAAGAAATAAGAACATGTGGCAAGCTAAGGCTACATGAAGAATAACATGAGAAACCTTTGTTATATGATGCAATAAGAGGAAGATGACCACTTGTCCAAATTGTTCGCTCATCATAGTCCTTCATTATGTTCAGTTTTCCCCTCTCTTCTTGATAGGTCAACTGAAAGGCTTGGTTCAGATTAGCAAAACGCAAAGAGGAACTAGGAAATAGGAAGAAATATCTATAAGCATCAGCTAACCTACCCCAGGTTCTTCTAATGGATCTCTTAGAATTAGGTGGGAAGATGTATATGACATGTCTCCTTTGCTAATAAGATCATACGTGACTGGGGAATGGAAGATTTGAGGTGAACTTTTCCCAATATCCTTTCTTTGCCGTAGCATCTCACGAGAACCAAGAACAGGGCTCGATGATGAAAATTGAACATTAAGAGATGGATTTACTTCACAGACTTGCTGAAGAAGGAGACCAAATGGTAGAGGCCATATTGATGTGACAGTGCGCGGAAGTGGAAGCGATACAACCTCACCTGTCACCCACAAATATCAAGAGTATGAAAAACACTTTCCTCAGCTTTTTATGCATCACAGAAGACATTTAGAGCATTCAGAATGCATATCCTACTGAACAAGGAAAAGCAGATACATAAAAATTTCCGAGAACCTGAGAAGGAATTGGAAGAAGAAAATAAAACAAAAGAACACTTAGTTTTTCACTGATTGACCAGCCCATTCAGAAAACGAATCAAGTCAGAAAAGGCTGCACAATATAGTAGTTCATCTGAGTGCATAAATTATCACTAATTGCTACATAATTTAGAATTAATAGAACTCTAGTTCAAGTGCTTAAAAAGTAATCTCGGAGGAAAATTCTAGTTCAAGTGCACCAAGCCACACTCACCTGATATGTTGTAAATAGTTAAACAACCAATCTGTAAAACACAAAGAAAAGTTTCTGACCCATCGCCCAGGTGACTCCAGCATGCCTACAGCATAAAAGATTATAGTTAGAACTAGTTCTTATCCAACAAACAGATCTTATGGAAGTTCTTAAGAGTTTTTGCACAATTTCGTCCGAACATACAGCACTGCATTTCAATGCCGAGATAGGCAATTGTATATGCGTGTGAGTGAGTGAATACCTTTTTACCAATTAACGTTAACAAAAAGGGATCAAAGGCATCCAAATATACAAAGTAAGAGCAGATTTGAGAACCTTTGCAAGTTCCAAACGACAAAAAAGAAGGCAGAGGCAGAAAGACAGAAATACCATGGAAAGCACTTACCTTGATGACTGCTGAAGGCAAGGTAAATCTCTTGAGCACACGAGAAACGCTTGACCAAATTATCCTAAAATGAAATTGAAATTTCGATGCCATGATCAGATGAGACCGGCAATTTTGCTCGCTAGTCTATATTAGTCCGAATTCAGCTTCCAGTTAAGCAAAACACTACGGATACAGCGTCTATAAAGAATCATACAAACACAAAGAAAGAAAATTTCTACTAGAAAGAATCATAATTACTCGGATTTATCACCGAGAAAGCACAGGAAAATCGCATCACCCTTACGAAATCAACAAAATGTATGAACTTTATTCACATTCCGATCATTTTGAGTTAATTGTCAGATAGTATACCCATCTTACCGATTGCCGCGGATGAAAAGTTCGTGTTCTCTCGGCATCGTAAACTCCGCTTCTTCACCGTCGGCTTCATCTCGTTCGCCGGCGACTTCCGGGTCGAAGAGGAAATATTGATAGACGTCGGAGAATTTCTCGTTGGGAAGTTCCCCGTCGGTGACTTCGACGATGAGGCCAAAAGGTTTGAACTCTCCGAGCACGGTGAGCTCACGAACTCCGGGAGGCATTTCTGGTTTTCAGGGGAGACCAGAGCTTTGCGTTAGAGCGTGGAGTTGATTTGCTCCCGCTCTTTCCACCCGATGACTCCGGGGCTTAAAACCCTAGTATTCTTCATTCTTTTCCATTTTTCTTTATTTATTTATCTTCATTTTAAAAAAATAAATAAATTTTCTTAGGCTCCGAATAAAAATTCAAAAAATAAGAACGTTAAAAGTCACATTTTTCCGCGTAGCTTAGGATAAACGCACCATCAGTATTTTGATTAAATTCAAAATATTTGTACCGTGTTCCATTGGTGAGTATCCGTTGGGAGATGAGAAAACGGGTCTGACCCGAAACCCGACCCGAGAAAGTAAACGGACCCGGCGATTCGCACCAACGGTTGGTACAGCTCAGGCACTCGGAACACGTCCTATCCTTTTCGTTAGATTTCTCACTTTTTCCCTTTTATACTCTCTTTCTGTGTCTTCCTCCACCTCTTTGCTCTGCCTCAGATCTCGCCGGCGATTTCCAGAGCTTGGTCAGTGTTTCCTCACCGTGCTCCTCTCTCCCGGCCGTGGATCCGGCTCCTCTGCTTCGGTGATTCACGCGCCGTCGATCTGAGGTCAACGTGGCGGCCGCCAACGCTCCCATCACCATGAAGGAGGTCCGTCCTCCTGACTCTGTTTTCTTGTCAACATCGAGCTTAATTCTGTGCAGTAATTGTGTTTCGAACTTGGACTGGTCCGGTTTCTGATTAATTTATTTGGGTCGTGGCCTCGTACTGTTGATTGATCGGTTCCTTTTCTAGTTTCGTGCTGTTCGGAATTCTGCTTGATCTCTGCGGTTCCGCCAACTTTTTCGAATTTCTCTGATGAGGAGGCTTTGATGACCGCAGGCGAGCAGAGCATCGTTTTCAGAATTATTGTTAGGGGTTTTCCATTTTATTTTCACTTATATTAGTATCATGCTTTTAGCATGGGGATGTGGGTTTTTATGCCAGTTCATCGATTTGGATTAGGGTTAAGAAGTATACAAGCTACAGATATCAGAAAGGGGATTTTCATGTTTTGGCTTTTGGTAAATGTCTGGGTTTTGGGGGATAGAAGGATACTCTCAATAATCAAACCATTATCTCGTGCTGGGTTTTGATATCAATACGTAAGAATTCCCTTGGTGTTCTTATCGGGTTCACCCTTGTTTTTTTTTTGTTTCCTCATGAATTAATTAAAAAGTTTCCGTGGATAACAAAACTCTTTTGTAATAATATTCTTTGTGTTGGTGAGCCATTTTTTTTTTAATTACATTTTGCTTATTTGTAAATGTAAATGCCGATATTTTTGATGTTCATGAGACGGGAGTGAATTCAGAACGGAGGGAGAAACCAAAGCAGTTACACGTTATGAACAAAGAAAACAACATACCGTACGCATCATAAATACCACAACTATTGCAGTTACCCGAAAAAAAAGACAAGAGTGGTTACTCTTATTGCTGTTGTTCCATCCCCAACTATTCCCAATTTAAAAACAACCTCAAAGGAGAAACAACACAGGGAGAGGGGAAAATGAGAATGAGGAAGAAACGAGAAGGGGAAGAGAGGAAGAAAGCAGGGGTAAAAGGGCCATGGAGACCAGAACAAGACGCCCAACTGGTGAAACTCGTCCATCAATACGGCCCTCGCAACTGGTCCCTCATCAGCTCACTCATCCCCGGTCGAACCGGCAAGTCCTGCAGGCTAAGGTGGTGCAACCAGCTCAGACCCGAGGTTCACCACCGGCCCTACACCCTCGAAGAAGATAACCTCATCGTTCAAGCCCACGCCATTCACGGCAACAAGTGGGCGACCATTGCCCGTCTCCTCCCCGGACGAACCGACAACGCTGTCAAAAACCGGTGGAACTCTGCCCTCCAACGCAGGCCGCATCTCGATCCAGCCAAAGGGTTTAACCCTTTCGGGGCGACACAGAACAAGAGACAGCGTCTCGATTCATCCAACAATGGAGATTCTGTGGCAGGAAAACCCGCAGAAGCAAACGCAATGCAACCAAAAGCAGAGGAAGAGAGAAAATGCATGATGCAAATCTTGCAGCAGATGATAGCTCAGGAAGTTAAGAGCTATATTGATGGCCTCGTATCAGAGGCTAAGGACAACTTAGCCATATGAGTTCCAACCAATGTACTAAAACAATCTTCGATGAGGCTTATGACAAATACGAGCCCTCGAAATTTTCTGCCGATCCAAAGATTTCGGATCATTTATCAGTTATCAAAATCGCTAAAAGTACTCAACTTTATCCTATGCTTTCATCAATCAAGAGGGTATAATAATCACCATATTAGCATAATTGAGGAACGAACGAGAGGATAAAAAAACCACGAGCAGTTGATGAAACAATCGGAAAAAGACCGATTATGATCAAAACCCATATGGATTTTTCCACGAAATCGACGGAATAATTGAAGCACAAACATAAATTCTGATTCGGTCTTTCAAAACAGTACGACGATAGGTTCAAGATTCAGACGAAACTCAAACTAGAAAACTTGAAGCTCCGAAAAAAAAAAGGACACATCTTCAGAACTACTTAGATCTCTGTCTCATCTTTCTTCTCTTTCTCTTCAACCTTCTCATACGCTTCTTCTTCCACTGGAAACCCCAACACAAAGAGCACAGGACAAAAAAAAAACGAAAATACAAACGTAGATTTTGTCAGACAAAGAAACCAGCAGGGTTCAGATCAATAGAAACTGCCAAGAGAAGTACAACAGAGAACTCGCCTTAGCTCTCATGGTGAAATAGCAGAAGCAGCTTTCAGTTCCGGAACCCTAACCGGTGAGTGCAGGTTTCAGAAAAGTGACCGCCGCGAATTATGAAAATCTCCTCTTCTGTGAAATTATGGAACTATATACGGTGGCAAAACCCTAGAAGGGATCAGGGTCCGGGAATATTTTGGGTCGATCCACACGTTATTATGGGCTTTTTTTTAAAGAGCCCAATAAAAGCCCAAATAAACGAAATAGAAGGCCTAAAAGAAATTGATTTTCTGTCTTTTTTGGTAAAAATGAAATAAAATTACCATTTCAACATTTCAATGTGGAAACAATTTGATTATTGTTACAAACTTACAAATACCGAAGGAAAGGTCTTTATATCGGAAAAAAGGTTATGGATTGTTCACACGTTTGTACCAAGTAACTTCGTGTATAAAACTATTATATGAAGTAGAAATTAAAAAAAAACCATTAATTAGTTTTCTATTTAGATACACACATTACCTAAACAAGTACAAGTGTTATCTACAATCAGAAAAAAAAATTGAATATTCGAATATTTTTAATAGTATTATTCATGAAAATGGAATATTTGATATGTATTTGGTTTTAATAGCCCTATTATCTACAAGTATTTGAAATATATATGTGTGTGTGTGTGTGTGTGGGTGGGTGGGTGGGTAATTATATATGTTAAATGTTTTTACTTTTTACGGTATTTAAAATCCCATTGTCCAATCTAAGAATATGAGATCATATTTGAAATTCTAATAGCTACAGTATTCAGCCTGATACACATTCTAGAACCTAACATAATATATGGTCGGTTTCTAAATTAGCAGAGATTTGGCCCTTCCTTCATTTTCCAAGTCTCCATGAATAATTTATTTGAAGAAAAAAACAATTATATCTTAATATTCCTTAAAAATACTCAGTAAACTTGTTAATTACTCTGGTTTGGTTAAAGTACGTTGGCCAAGCTATAATCAATGAAGAAAACATATGCGTACCTACCCATGTAGTTAGGTTTGGAATTGGCTCTTTAATTCCAAACTCGATAATGAAATTTATGATTTACCCTGAAATCGCATAACCATGAAAGCGACTAGACCAGAGCGGCCCAGTGCTCGAACCGCCATCAAACCGGGTTTAAACCGGTTCGACAAAATTGATATGTCCACATTTCCGATAGAAAGATAACGTTGACTAACGGGGCCGTTAATAGTTCCGGGTTGAAAAAGGATCCGGAGACGGAGACGGAGAAGGAGAAGGTAACCTTATCGTCGTTAACACATACGGTCGCTGACGTCACCGCCGGTCACCAATGTCAGGCCACTTATCCCCTTCCCGTTTTCTCCTTCTCACCAGAGCCAAATTCTCTCTCCTTATCCTACACCCCTTCCCCCTCCGGTGCGCACGTTAGCATCTCTCCCCCTCCTCTCCCTTCTCTCCGATGGAAACGACTCCTCCTCCTCCTCCTCCTCCTCCTCCCCCGCCTCCGTCGCAGCAGCAGAGCGGCGGGTCCCAACGTCCGTCGGCGGGAAGAGAGGACTGGTGGAGCGAGGACGCGACGGCGACGCTGATCGAGGCTTGGGGGGACCGATACGTGAAGCTCAACCGCGGGAATCTCCGGCAGAGCGATTGGAAGGAGGTCGCCGACGCCGTCAATTCCGGCCATGGGAATGGGAAGCCGAAGACCGATATTCAGTGTAAGAACCGGATCGACACGCTGAAGAAGAAGTACAAGGCGGAGAAGGCCAAGTCCTCGCCGTCGACGTGGCGGTTCTTCCCCCGCCTCGATACGTTGATCGGTCCGGTGTTGAAGAAATCCTCCACCGCCGGCGCCAGCGGCGCTGTGAAATCGGCGCCGTTGATTTCGAGGCTGAAACCGACCGGATCGAAATCGACGGACAGTTCTCTTGATGACGACGACGACGACGACGATGATGATGAAGACGATGACGAGGCAGGTGACTGGGGGTTTGTAGCGAGGAAACATCGCCGGGTCGAGGAAGTAGATCTGAGGGAAGGATCGGCGTGTAGGGAACTAGCGAGGGCGATTCTGAAATTCGGGGAAGTGTACGAGAGGATAGAAGGAGAGAAGCAGCAGATGGCGATAGAATTGGAAAAGCAGAGAATGGAGATTGCAAAGGAGGTAGAGTTACAAAGAATGAACATGTTGATGGAGATGCAATTGGAGCTGGAGAAATCGAAGCACCGGAAACATGAAACTGGTTCAGGTAAATCCCCATGATCTTCTCTGTCGGATCTTCCATCTTTCAATCTGCTTTCAATCAAGTTCTCGTGAAAATTCTTTGGGAATGCCATTCTCTCTCTGGTAGATTGATAGATCTCTTTGCAAAAACCATGGTAACTTTCAAGACTAGTTATCAGTTCAAGCTCCTGCTCTCTGGTATTAGGTAAAGCTCCAAGATTTGGGGTAACCATTGTCTGAACACGACAATGCATGATTTTGCGTGGCTTACGAGTAACATGGATGGAGTCTACAATGGCTTTAGCAGATTTATATCAGCGAATACAGAATCGACAAAAGCTTGCATCTTCAAAAGACGCAATTAGTACAACAGTTTGAGACTCAACGTATCTCTGAAGAACCCTCGAGAAATTCGATCGAAAAGTATAAATTTTACTACTGAAATCTTAGCAAGTGTCTTTCTGTTAATGCAGGTAAGAAGTTGTAGGATTGGATATCGGTGGGAAGGAACTGCTGTACACTGCAAGAACACAACGCAAGAAGGAGCTCTGGCTACATGCCATGCGTGGATCTAAAGTTACCGAAATTGGAGAAACCCTAATTCGTAGGATATCCAAGACAACTCCTCTCAGGGATGATGATGATCATTAACCCAAAACCCTAATTCCTAGTGTTGTAGGAAGTACATTTGCTGTATTTATGCAGGATATTTTTTTCTCCCAAAGGAACCCCTCTTGTTGTTATATGACAATGCAAAGATTAGCTTCTGTGAAATTATGAATGTAATATGTGATTCATGACTGTTCCCAAGATGTGTTATATATGACCTGTCTCGTACAGTTGTTGGGGTTTCATCAAGTGACAGACTTCATGAAAATGAAACCAAGTACGAGAAAGCACCAAATAACGCAAGAAATGTAATAAAAAACACAATATTAAAAAAAAAAAAAACTTTTTTGCCCTCTTGAAGCCCTTGTAAGTTTATTTTCCCCCACAGAACAAAATCACTCTTTCTAAAATATGACAACAGTTTCAACGGAAAGAATGAATTCCAAGAGTGACTCTGAAAAATCATCAAACTTTTTGGATGAGAACCAACCAAATCCAATCACAATGGGTTGATTGAGAAATCAAGAGAGGCTAACAGAGAAAGGAAATCTGAGTTGAATATCTCTCAGGACGGAGCAGAGAAGTTCAGGACGAACCCGGATTTTGCCCGATCGTGTTCTTGTTTCCGCAGTATGCGGCAGTAGTTAAGCTGCCAAAACAAAAAAAACAGATACATAACCCCGAGAGCACATCGAAAAATCAATCTCCAGTCGATACAAATATTAGAATTTGATGACAAATTGGCAAGAGACTAACCTCCATACGGAAGAGGTTAGTGGGCAGGACAATTCCGACACCTACTGAGGTTCTACATGTCTCCAGAAACTTTGGAGCAGTTAAGTTCCTGAACTCATTCCCTGACAACATTGCCAGATTCCCGGCACACGCAAAAACATGCCCGTGGATTCCCCTGTCTCTGAACCACCTCAACGGGAAATCGAAAGAGAAATCTGCAAATGCAGTAACCGCAAGATCTCCCCCTACGAAATCCCGTTCAGACGAGTCACCGTCTCTTTCATCTCGTAGTTCCCTTCTCGGCTCGTTAGGACCCAATCCCCTAGTTCTGAATCCCCATAATGAAGATGGTCCTCCCAAAGAACAGACAGGGGATGAATTCCCACCCAAGAAGTACCTCTCTGGCAGGGACGAAGGCTTTTTCTGGTACCCGTTTCCCCACGGGAAGGTGATACCCCCCGACACACCAAAGTTTAGAGCAGCACGGTAAAACCCGAGGGGAATTGCATACCGAAGATCGATTTCCTGATGCAGTGTTGGATTAAAAAGGGTCAATGCGTGATCAAAAGACTTGAAGAAAAGCTTAAACCTTTCAGAGTAAAAACGAATGAACACAGGAATGTCTAACAGCAAATACCGGAGACCTATTCCTAGCAATCTCTCCATATATATGAAAGATGTACATGCCATAAACACAAAATTTTCAGTGTGGAACCTAATATCCACCATGCAACTTTCAAGTTTCAACAACCGAAAATATATGCTTTTTAAGCGTTGGGAACCACAATGAAATGTAATGAACCTGGCGCAAGAACCGAAGGGTACGACTATCCGGAGCAAGACCACCAATCTGAGATGAAAAGACGAAAGCATATCCTCTCGTTGGCCTTAGGAACGAGTTTCTCTGGTCATATTTGAAGGTATACTTCAAAGTAGAAAGCAAATTATGCCCTAGCTGCCTCCGTACTGATTTCGACGCCATCTGGGATGGGTCTATTAAGTTACGCCATGCAACTGTGTAGACCAAGTCATGATATTTGCTCGAGAGGAGCCCGAGAGAAAGGCCGAGAGATCGTTCTTTATAAGACGAAAACTTCAACCAATCTTGGGTCAAAAGGTAAAGACGGGAAGTAAATGGAGTTGAGTATCCTTTGAACCTCGGCAAGAACAGCCCGAAGCTAACCTCAGCGGAATTGTCACAGCCATAAACTAAAGACCCATCCCATATATCGCCGTACCCGAATACGTTCTTGTACTTCAATGATGCTTCAACACTTGCGGATCTAGCCTACAAGAAACACTAGAATTATAATCCAAACCCTAAAGTTTTCACGTAAGATCGACTAAACGAATCTGAAACGTAAACCCATGAGCCACGCAAAAGAAATTCATGTTTTTTCATCGAAATATTTCACATCATTTTCCAGCAAAATGCATCAGAACCCAAAAGATACTCTTCAAGACCACATATCCATACTCGGGTTACCATTAGTTTCACCTAATGCATTGAAAGCTAAACACAAAATGAACTGTCGCCATTGTAGCAATACCTCTGCTTTAGTGTATGCACCGATTTGCCCCGAGAGAGGGTTTTTGCTTTCCACAACATCGATCACGACATTGGTTGTACCAGGGAGTTCAGGAGGACCAGAATCGAGCGTAATGTTGACCGAATCGAAAATCTCGAGTGCCTGAAGATTGAAGTTGGCAACCCTAGAGGCCTCTAGAAGCTCCTGCAATGTCGTTGCGTGCCTCACGACCTCAACCTCCGCCTCGATCACGTGGTCCTTGGTCTTGCCGTTCCCACGGACGACCACGTCGTGGACTCGCACTGGCACCGGAGCGGCTCGCATGCGGCGAAACAGTGACTGCGCCTTGATCCTCTCCTCACTTGATCGGCCCTCTCGCGTCCCAGGTCTCGGAAGCGTGGACTCGTCATCGTCTTCTCCCACCTCTTCTTCATCTTCTTCGTCGCCGTTCAGTTCCTCTTCTTCTTCGTCCTCCTCTTCTTCCACCTCTTTCGGGTCGGGTTCTTGGGTCGGTGGATTCTCGTCGAGTTTATCCATCGGATCCGCCATGAGAGAGAAGAAGAAGCAAAGTGAGAGATTACGAAAATGGGGGGTTTTCGGCGAATCGACGAAGAAACCAACATTTGACGGCTGTTCCAGATAGAAATACATAACGGCGTCGTTTTAGAGTCATATAAACGGCATCGTTTCGTGGTCACCATAACGACGTCGTTTCATCCAGGAATCTTTTCAAATTCAAAGCCATTCGCTCTCTTCTTCAGCGTCGCATTCGAGGTTTTAACGCAAAAAAAAAAAAATGGCGAAGAACGACAATGGCTGCGACAAGTTTTTGTCATCGCTAATCTCCGACATCAAATCGTACTCCGGAAAGGACCCTCTTCTTCCATGGATCCGGTATTCGCTTGTGTCTTTCTCTCGCAGTGTCACCATTCCTGTAATCAATCAAGTGCACATACATCTGTGTATATGTGTTTACGCTCAGGTTGATATGTTTATATATGTTGATGATCAATCTTAAACAGAGGGGTTAAGAAGATGAAGGAGAACTTGTCGCCTCAGATTTTGAACGAGAAGCTACCGCGGTTTCTGCAGAAATGTGCACAGTCGTTTGAATCCGACAAGAGATATAGGAACGATTCACGGTATATCCGTGTTTGGTTGCAGCTGGTAATCCAATCCCATCGACCCCTACTTTGTGCTTTGATATTTTTTGCTCATGTCAACAAATGAGCAGTTGGATTTGTGTCCTGGGTTTCCAAATCTTGCTATTGGAGCTTTATATTGTTTCAAGTTAGTGATCAATTTCGAGGATGATAGAGATCATTGCTTGGTAAGCTTATGTAATTCGCAAGTTCTACTGCTTGAAACTTAAAAATCGGAGATTTCCCAAATTGCAAAACAATGATTTTGTTCTGAATCAGTAAGCGAAAGTGCAAGTGTCTTGGGTTTCTGTGTGATGTTTGTTAAAGACTTTCTCTCGTCTCTGCAACGTTTTTGTAGAAGATGTAAATCAGTGAAAAAAATTGGGTCTTGATATAGCTGATGATAAAGTTTTGCTGGGTAGATGGACTTTGTAGAAGATCCAAAAGCTCTGTTAAGAACCATGGAAGCAAACTGTATAGGCACCAAGAGGCCATTGTTCTACCAAGCATATGCACTCTACTATGAGAAAATGAAGAGATTCGATGATGCCGAGAAAATGTATCGTCTTGGAATGCAAACGTAAGTGTACTCATCTCTATTCTAGTAAGTGTTCTTGATGCTACATGTTTAATCCATTCGGAAAGATGTTGACGAAGCATTGGCAACCGACATCGACCCGATATATTTCTATCTTAGCTCAATATGCTGATTTTCTGATGCCAGCAAAACTGGATTCGCTTTTGTTATGATTATTTTCAGTATCATACATGATGTGCCATAAAATTTACGCTCAATTTGAACTGCTAGTTCTGTGAATTGGATGTGGTTTAAGACTTCATTCATGATATTCGGGCTGTGCATTTTCTTTCACCAGCCTTGCTGAGCCAATGGATGAGCTACAGAAATCATACGAGCAATTCCTTAGTCGCATGGAGAAGCACGAGAAGAAGAACATTCAGGTAATATGTTCTGTGAGTTTGCTTGTTCTGCTTATGTCATCTTTCCTGAGTTCTGCAGATGATTGGAAATGGTGTCCATGTTGCAGCGCCAGGAATTAAAAACCACCAAAAGACCTCTGTCTGAAAAGAGCCTCCCTCTCGAATCTGATGGAACCAAACGAAACAAAGAGAGTTTACAGACTACAAAGCCATCTGAGGAATCTGACTTCGCCAAGGTTTCGCAGAATGACTCTCGCAATATGTCCACAAAGCAACCGATGTTTACGAGGCAAATCTCTGAGCCTAGGTTGGCTGGAAATGACGATACGGTTGTTGTGAAGTTTGTTGATACAGCCATTGTAGGAAAGTCTGAAGCAGAAGATGTGTGCCATCATGGTTTGGTGGATCCAACGATAAACATGAAGGAAGCTATGAATGCGATTAACAACATGTTCAAAGAGCCTATAGAAACTGCTCCAGTTCACAGAAGATCACAGAGAAACCAACACAAGGAAAATCAAAGCTTCAACAATGGTTTTGAAGTGTTTGTGGACGAGAATCTTGAAAACGGAACAAGGTCACGAGAAAAAGCAAAGGTTGGTAGTTGTCAGGCATCTCAGGCAAATCAAGAGCCCTTTGAGATATTCATCGATGACGACAACTGTGATGAAAGTGCAGATGGAAATGATGAGGTCGGCGTTTCAGATGAAAAGGGTTTCATTTTTCTACGTCCTAAGGACCATTCATCTGAAAGCTCGGAAGAAGCAGACATAGACAGCCCTCCTAAGACTAGGTTCAGGGAAGACACAGTTGTCCATAGATTTGTGGGCTCAACCATTTCCGAAGAGCCAATGGTCGAGAACGTATGTCACCACGGCCTTGTAGATCCGACAATCAACTTGAAAGAAGCCATGGAAGACATAAACAACATGTTCGGAAAGCCGATAGATTTTGTCAGGCCCAAGCGGTCCAAGAGGCTGGAAAAACCAGCAGAAAAGAAACCTGATCCTTCCGGAGGATTTCTAATACTTGAGGATGATGAGGATGAGCTTGAATATCAAGAGAGCAACCCAACTCAGATGCCAACCAATAAACCGAGCGAGCGTGATTTGTTTGAGCCAACGATGTGCACTAAGGAAGCTGTGGATGAGATCAACAAACTGTTCACAATGCCAATGGACTTCTAGGAACAAGGTATTCCATTCACTTTCCTTCTGTTGTATTGTTTGCTACGTTGAGATTATATCAGGATTATCCTTGCAAACATGTTTCCTGTTGTTTTAACTGTGGGAGTGTCTTTGTTGTTATTGACTTATAAATTACATACCGAGTGTTTTAACCTTACCATCTGTGCTGTGATCTTCATCATCTCTCCAAGACAGGGAATGTCCAGTTTCTAACATCCTTCAAGAACATGATCAGCCAACTATTCAGACCTAACCCTCTTAAGTTGGGGAAGGACAGTTGCCAATTCAGTGATCTGAAACTCTAAACTGATCCAACTGTGTTACAAGATTGTGCCATCAGATTAGATCTAAACCCATAATACAAAGTCTAAAGCCTTGTACTTGGCCAAGTTTTTTTTTATAACGGTGGGAACCCGCCATATGACCCTTCTGGCCGGACCTCGACCGCCTCACAGCCCTCAGACCGGACAATCGGTATCGCAAACAGTAAACCTCCGATCCTGCGCAATATCCGGCAAACCACGCAGAACAGATAAACCAGCCTCGTAAAGCTGGCCGGTTTAAGGGGAGTTTCCATTCCTGGATTTCGAACCCATAAACTCTTGGTAAAGGGGTTTGCCATTAACCACCGGGGTGGGGACTCCCCCTACTTGGCAAAGTTTTATTAAAAAAACATTCAAGATTTGGCTTCTTCCTACTTCTTTTTTGTTTTTTCCCCCTCAAACTTTGTACAAAAGGATGCACAAGAATCCTTCCCATCACAACAGTCAAGCTCTCTTACAAAGCCCATCTCTTTGAAACAAAACAACCGACAAAGACAAAACCAAAAGAAGAGAAAGGAAATTACAGTGTGCAGATCAAGGATAAGTGGAAGGAGAAGCCATGGGGCAGTGGGCAGGACGGAAAGCCAAAGGCCCAGAGGCATAAACCACAGCCTCGTAGGTTGTCCACTTCACTCTCTTGTCCTCATACCGAAGAGGAGACCCATCGAGAGCATTGTTAATGTTGGAGAACAGGTTGCAATCCTCGCGGGGCGAAGACACGAGCTTTACACGGCAAGAATGAAGAGGATGGTCCAAGAAATGAGGGCTCGTCTTAAATCCCTTTAGCTCTGCGTAGAAATGGCCATTGGAATCTGTCTGAAAAACCTTGTAGAAGCTCACCTTCTGGTAATGGTTCTTGCAGATGACACTTATCTTGGCTCCGTTGATGGGTTCTGCCCCTTCCAGTGACCAAGAACCGAACTTGTCGCAGGCTTGGCAATACACCATCCCTTCCACCGCCGCTTCCACCGTTTTTCCGGCGGGATATCCTGTGGTCGCTGGCGGTGGAGTACTGTATCCCTCCGCCGTGGGCGCC